TTTTCTCAATTTTCATGATGGAACAAAGTGATGATTCTTTTAGGAATCAAATTTCAGCTCTTTTGCGAGTTATAAATGTAACACGATTCTTCAAACAGGACAATGTTCCTTGCCAAATTGAAGAGGTAGTAGTGGGCAAGAACCCTTTTTATGGGATTATTTTTCATAATAGCCTGATTTTATCCTGAAATCCTTTTGGCTTTTCTCTTTTTCAATTTCTCAGGGTCTCTTTTTGGGCTCAATTGGAGCTGCTAATAACAAGAATGCACTCAAGAGTTCTAATATCACTCATGTCTTAACTGTCGCTAGACCTGCACATACAAATGACTTTGTGTACAAAGTCATTCCAATTAGAGGGAATTGCTCTTTTAATGATGCGGGCTTGGTTTTCGATTTAGAATAACTTCTTTTGAACATTTGAAACTGTGCTTATGAAGCATTGTCTTTCCTCGTCTTAGTGATGGTGTTCTTCAGATGGTAGTCTATTTCAGCTCTTTTGCTCCTGAGCAGCTAGTTACTCTTTCTAACATATGAGAATGTTGCCTACAAGAGTCAGTATCACTATAGTTTATTTATACCTTTTAGCCATCTGTTTCTCATGCATAATCAATTTTTGCCAAAACATGCATTCAACTGATTCCATATGAACTAGCATCAATTTCCTATCTTATACATGACTCACCTAATCTAAGTTCTTTAAAATGGAACCTTGTGGCTTCTGCTCACATAATAAGGCCATATTTACTCATTGATGAAAGGGCTATTCGAGTTTTTTTAACACATTGAGAATCTTGAAGAAGCATTAACAATAACTCTATTTTTCTCTCTGTAAATTGAGGTAGTCTTGGACAAAGAAGATACAAATATAACTCAGTACTTCGATGAGTGCTTTGATTTCATTGATGAAGCCAAACGACAGGGTGGTGGTGTACTTGTTCATTGCTTTGTCGGAAGATCCAGGAGGTAATTGTTTTCCTTTCCCATCTAAGTGACTGGGTTACTTGTTTTAAGGAGTCTGTTTTCAGTTACAGCAAAAAAGAGTTCTACCAGGACATTCACTCATAATGTGTGTTTGACATGCTGAACATATGGCCAATCTTTTTGTTTATCTTGACTAGTATTTATGCTTATTTCCTGAATCTGGCATTCATTCTGGACACTAATCTCTTGGGACTCTAATTATTTGAATGGCTTATGAATGATTTTGGTTCATACATCTGGTCTATTAGAACTCCTGATCAACTTAATCCTCTAGGCTTTTCTATTTTTAAACTATATGGAACTTTGGTAAACTGTTGCATTTTCTTGGAAAGTTTATCTAGAAGCAAAAAAAGTTTTGTTTTGTTGGCAAGTTTATCTGAAGCAATATTCATTCCTAACTGTAAAAAACTACTTTGAATTGTTAGTCTTAAAAACTGTTTATTCCACTTGCTGTGCCATGCAGTGTGACCATAGTTGTTGCATATCTTATGAAGAAACGTGGTATG